TCTATGCTATAATAGTGAAAAAGGAGGTAAATACACAGTACCACAAATGTCTAGCAAAGCACAGAGGCCACTTGAAGACATTCTTCCTTTTAATTATTGCCTAAAAATTCCCAAAGTATAAAATATATACCATATATTGTATAAATACAGTATATTAACTATGTTATGCTATTGTGGTCAACCATTCTGATCTCAGTCATTTTTTCTAATTGAGGTAGTAATTATTTTTTTTTTGCCTGTTTCTACTTTTAAAAATAATTTATTTTCTCTCTCAAGTTAACACATTATAATACCCCCTATCTTTTTGTTTAAGTGAAGAATTATTCCAGTAAGCTCAAGCACATCTTCTAACATATGCAAAACTTTGAGGGAGTGGTTCTTCCCCAGTCAAAGTCAAACCCTGGGACACTTCCTCCATCATTTATCAGCCAAGATTTTAACATCCAAGGTTTTGAGCTGACAGTGGCAGCAGGCAAAAAGATCCACCATCACCCAAGGGGGGATTTTTTACTGGCTGTTGTTTAGAAGCATCAAATCACCAATCTAACTGCTAAAGTACCTTTGAAAATAGCTTTTGAAGGATGAGTTTGAAATGAGGACAGAAGTAGCAATCCCTAGCTGCCCTCTCAACAAGTAAATGGCATGCTGGCAGACTAAGGAAAGCTAGTATAGAAGCATGAAGGTGACCAACACAAGGAAAGAGCCTCCAAATCACATGGACTCTTGCAAAAAGGAGCTTTTCACATTCGCAAGACAAGTGAATCTACACTTGTAACATACCAAGGTATACTCAAATCATTAGTGACTAAACTAAGCAGTCACAGAGTAGTAAGTGACAAAATAAGGAATGACCATGCAAACTTCAGCTATGCCCACTAAATATGCATTAAGATACCATCTACAGTTAACTACATGATCATATGCTGATCCTTCTGCAGAAATCTCATTTAATTAAATGCAAACATAGATTCTGCTCAGAGAATTATTCAGAATTTGCAGTGAATGAGCCTCTTATTTCTAGGACCTGGCCAGCCTCAAAGAACTACTACAATATAAATATTTAATAATAATAAAAGCATGCAACCCTTTGCCAAGCACAGATGTTAGAAAGTGACTACAAATCTTGGCATTTGGTGGCACCCAGTAATCCACTGGCTGAGTCACTAATGTAACTGATGGCCTTAAGTCGTTCAGGAACTATTGGCCCCTCCAAGAATTCAGACCTATGAACCGTGTAATATTTTTTGTATAAGTACTTTTCTCTACACAACCAGTCAATGTTGGGTTTTATTCTTAAAGGTTTAAAACGGTATGTGGCTCTGCTGCTTGGGAAACCTCTTTGCCTGGAAGAAATTGATGCAACTGGTCTGTTTCTGTACTTTGGGCTTATTTTGTTTTGATATTCTAATTCTGGCAATGATGTTATGGTTGGTACAAGCATAACTGAAAGATAAACTCCTTTTGCAACACACCTTTTTCACTAATCTGGTCCTGAGGAGCCTTAGGTCTTGTTTTGAATAAGGAAACAACTAATTTATAAACTATGTTGCCTATAGATGTCCTCAGTTTTCCAGTCATCCTGTATTTCATTAACAATCCCTACCTGGATCCCACCCTGCTTTTTAAAAAGCTAAGACTTTCCAATGAGGAGTTAGTCTAAGCACAGGCAGCAGAAAGGAAGCATCTTCCTTCTTGATTTTCTCCTTTCTGACAAGCTCAGAGCAACAAGATGTCTGGTCAGAACTGATCACTTCCATGAAGCATCTGTACAGTATCTTTAAAACTGGCCATTCCCTTCCAGGTGAGATTCCTGGCCATACCAGCCTCCCTAATGCTATAGCAAGGCATACATCAGACAGACAGTTCCCACAGAAAATACTTCTCAAGTACTTCTGACAGATTTTCTTTCCAAAATGAACAAATCTGTTTTTTTTACCATTTCTATGACCTCAAAAAGAACCAGTGAAGAGAATCATTACACTGCTGTAACCGCAACAGAATGTATTATCTCTGAGTGATGTGCCCTGGACATCTACAGGGTAGAGGACACTAAAACAGTAATAAATTAAAAAATTAAAGATGCAAAGGCAAATGGACACATTACTATTTATTCATGTCAAACACTCTCCTTTGTGTAATTTAACTGAAAATGCAAGTCAGAGCATTTACGTTTTATTGCAGATCTACCTTTGTAGAAAGTGTTAGTCCTCCAGGTCATTAGTTTAAATTATACCAACTAACATAGCCAGGAACAGATTCTGAACAAATGAAAGAATAAAGAAAAAAAGAGAGAAAACTAATTGTTTCTTCAAGTGCTTCAAGTCACACAAGACTCTTGCATGCTGTCAATTAAGTGAACCCTATAAAGTTATGATCTGTGGCAAAATTCCACCAGACCAACAGTCATCAGTACAGCACATATTACCCTACTGAACTCGGAGCAAGTTTTTTTTTCCACCAGAAACTGCTTCTACAACAGTACCATCTTAATTAAGAGTCACATAAAGCATTTTTAATCACCAAGTTCCATTGAATTCACAGTCTGTACTTAAAAAAACATATCTGGTACCCTGACCATACACAGTGAACTTGTGGAACAGCAGCAAACTCCTCTAGGCTGTCATCCATTTTTCCTTCAAAATTTATTTAGTATGTTTTATGGTATTTTCAGCTTTTCCCTGGCTCCCTTGCTCTTGGGGGAAAAAAAAAAAAAAATCAGCATAATTCAGACTGGAAGGGAACTCAGCAGGTTATCAGGTCCATTCTCCATCGCCAAAGCGGGGCCAGTTTTACTTCCAAGGAGAAACACACACACAAACAGCAGCAGCAAAGAGCACAAACAAAAAAACCCCAATCTAAACTCAACAAAGGACAATTACAGTTAAAAAAAAATGATGTGATTTCACCTGTGTATAGTACTTGCTTTCTTTGCACCTTAACTTAACCTCATAGTATTTATATTAATCATGCTGATTTTATTACAAGCCTTTCCAGCACCTAACTTTATGGCTGATCATCTTTGAAAACAAACATGCACATTTAAGGTGCTATATATCTTTTTTTTTTAAGTAGTCAACAAAATCTTTCTTTAATCAAAAATAGAGATTCTTTTATCATGGGGAGGTTTTAATAAAAAATTTAAGAGTTTTGGAGGCCCTCCAGCAAGTAAAAAATTCACTTGGCCTCATACTAAAGTATGGAACTAGATGATCTTTAAGGTCCTTTCCAACCCATATCATTCTATGGTGATTCTTTGAAATAAGAAAGAACAGGTCATGTCTCAGAGAGCTGTAATCAAAGCAGATACGTCAACAAAGAAGAGTAAAAAGGAGGTGACAGAGGCTTGAGGGGAAGGAAGACTCGATGGACTTGCTAAAAGCAGCGAAGAAAAGGAGAGTGAACACAGAAGGACAAATAGGAAGAGCAAGACTGAAGCAGCGGTTTGGACACAGCACAGGCTGGTATCCAGAGCTGGTATGCCTGAAGTGTGTGGATGGTCAGTGGGCATGTTCAATAAATTGGATATTACAAAATACGCAAAGTAGTCTGAGAAAAAGCAAAAAAAAAACAAAACAAAACCCAAACAAAAATCAGACTGCTTAAAAACCATAAAACCATTTTCCCCTTACCAACAGCAAGCTGTTCATTCAAAGGTTACTTACTTCACAATTTTGGACTAATCTCTTTGCTTTGACTTCTGTATTTATAAATTGAAGACAATGTATCATCTCATCCCACAGTGTTGTAAGAGTACATACATTATTGTCTCTAAATTACAAGGATGTCCCAATACAGAAAACTGGATAAAAAAAATTGGTAACTGTGCAACCAGCATGGGTTCCAGACAACAAAAGCCACATAGAACGCTACACTGAGTGAGACCAGAAAGAAACCTTGACCAGCTATTCATGCAGTAAATGCCACTCTTCCTGCACAATAAATGAGATACGGAGTCGGGGGAGGTAGGGGTGGGGGATTTAAAAATAAATAAATAAATAAATATTCCTTCTTTCTCATACATATTCTTCTACAGCACCTTTTTGCCAGACAGATTACTATAGTTGAGTTTACATATTGAGCTTTTTCTGTAAAAGAAGCTCCTACCTAGACACTTCCTCACTTCCTGCAAACAGCAGTTCCCAAAATACTTACAAAGCTTTCATTTCATTATGGAAGCTCCCAACCTGCTCAGCAAGACTAAACTCAAAACTTTAATGTTAGACTCTATCAGTACAATGAAACTTTCTAAACATTAAGAATGTTTTTTATATTAACATGACACATTGTACACTGGATTCATCCTCAGGTCCTTCAAAGACACTAGATTGGTTCAGTGCCTTTCTAAGTAGTAGAGGCAGAAGGTTTTACCAGTCTTTTTGCTTCCAGTACCAAAATTTCCGCAAGGCTGTTGACCTCAGAAACAGAGTCGCTAGTGACCCCTAGTGTCAAGAAGCTCAGTCCCAATTTGACTGATTTATGGCAAAAAGCATGATGAGTATCATCCTCCAGCACTCTGTTGTTCTTCAGACATAGTAAATCGTCATTGCCTTGTTTTGAGGTTCTTTCCACTCCAGTTTACAGACAAATATAGCAGTATCCATTTTTTAAGAAACAAGTGGAAATGTAATATAAACTACTAAGCATCCCAGTAAATTGCAGCTTCACATTCCTCCTGCTTTCAAATATTTAATACAACTTTCCTCATTTGGAAGATTAACAGTAGGATATCTAGAGCAGACTGACAGTCATGACTTCAGGTTGACATTTATAGCCGCTTGATCAGTTATTAAGGAATTAAAGACGGTGAGCCACAATCCAAACCAGCCAGCAAGGTCTAGTGTAAGGAAGGAAGCTGCAATTGCCAGGTTGCTGCAAGACTTGGTTGTCCCAGGTAGAAGTGTATATAGTCCAGTAAGCCAACTGCTCAGGTGACATAAAATTCGCTTACAACAGAAATCTGTAACTAGAGAAACAAAGAAGAGTCCCACTGTATTACTTACAATTTTGAGTCCAGGTTAAGGAGAAAGCCCAGTTTGTCATATTCTGGAAAACAAAAGCAAGGGACATGATATCATAAGAAGTGCAAGTGTCTCCTCTGCAAAAGGCATCAAAACAAAAAAGCAGCAAGTCCTTATGGAAGGATAATAATTATTTCTAAATGAAAATAGCTACATTGTAATTTCCAGTCACTAGCATCACTAATCACAGATTATTGTTACTTCAGGGTATTCCCAAATTAACATTTCTGAATCTTCAGGAAATACTAAAGCAAGAGAACATGTGGGTAATCATTAATTTAGAAATCACTAGAATTATGCCAGATATCTGTAGTCATAAAAACAAAGCACTACTGAAACCCCACAGGCAGTGATTTACAAAGCTTTTCTGCTTACAGAAGAAATAATTTTGCCAGTAATTTGTATTGACAAACACTCCTCCTAGGTCCTGACATGGCAGAGCTTTGGAATTTTTCTTGATTCCTTGTCTATTCCAACCCACAACTGCATAATCAAGCAGCCATCAAGAGAAAGTCATTCATGGTGGCAAAAACGTTTCAAGCTCAGGTGATGTTGTTCAACAGGCAACTGCAAAGTCACAGTTTATGGCACAAACAGGGAACAGTTACAACATCTGTAATTCCTGTCTAGAGTAAGCTTGCATTCAGCATCTTTGAATACATTGTAAATCAAACACTTGATACAAAAAATGAAACTACTAGAATTCACATGAGATACACACGAAAAACTAAAAGGTGTAGTGTCCTTCTTGCATTGGGTTAAGCCCAGGGGCCTCCTCAGACTGTGAACCACTGGGTCTCACTACCATACAATAAAAAACCAACACAAACAGAAATAAAAGATAATCTTGGTGACAATCAATGATAGGACAAGGAGCAATGGGTGTAAGCTGGAACACGGGAGGCTCCACTTAAACTTCAGAAGAAGCTTCTTTACGGTGAGGGTGACAGAGCACTGGAACAGGCTGCCCAGGGCGGCTGTGGAGTGTCCATCTCTGGAGACATTCAAAACCCTCCTGGATGTGTTCCTGTGGGATCTCATCTAGGTTCCTGCTCCGGCAGGGAGATTGGACTAGATGATCTTTCGAGGTCCCTTCCAATCCCCAACATTCTGTGATTCTGTGATAATCCCCAAGACCGTAATGATCAGGATGTATGAAAAGAAACGAGAAGAAAAAAAATCTCAGCCTTTTAGAAAGAGCTCAGTGGAAATACAGAAGTTTGCTTTCCTTCTGAAACACCACCAGCATTTCTGCCACAGTAGTTTACCTAACAAGATCACAAGCTTTTCATACTATCACTTACTGGCAGAACAGGAAAGCCTAAACAAAATGATTGCACCACACAGGTCAGCATAAACTGCACCATTCAAACTAGAAGCACAGGTGTGTTCTCGATTTTCAGTAGGAGGTAAATCATCCTTTCAGGCTAATTTAGGTAACATCAAACCAGAAGCACCTATGCTCCTTCTTCTTGCTGGCTGGTGAAATAAGCAAACTACTGCAGGTAGAGAAATGTTGCCCTCACCATGGGCCATCTCACACCGGGACTTCTGGAAGTCATAGCATTACTACTGGCTTGGAAAGGAATCTCTACCACATGCAGCTCCCCCAAGAAAAATGCTAGGAGCCTCTAAATGACAAAGTTAGCTTCCTTTTTAGTAAAAATCAGAGTCTTGTTACAGACTTCCAGTGTAGTTTAGCTGTATCACTACAAATACAGAGGCCAACAGTCACTGTGACACACAACAGTGCAGCACACACGCTGGCTGGAAGCGGTGTGGATTCACAAAAGACAGCTAAAACCCCAAATACCTGAAGAAAGCCAAACACACGTAGCCCAGCTGCAGGAAAAGGCAATCCTTGTCTGGAGTTATGCAATTCATTTAAAACAAAATAAAACACACTCACTAAATCAGACAAGTACAACTGAATCTAAAATACAGTATAGTCAGGGTGTGATGGTTACAGGAGATGGACAGCAGATCACACAGCTCACTGCTAGAGAAAAGGGCAATCCCACTCCTACCCTTCCCCTCCCTTGAAAATACCAGCTGCAAGAGCCTGCCTTGGCACTCCTGTGCCCTAACCTACAGGCTGCTTTCACCTCCCATCACTTTAGTTTAAAAGCCTTACTCACCAAGAAAAAACAGTTCTCGTCCTTTTCATGCAGTGGGATAAAGAAGTGCTAGACTATTAGAGAAAATGGAACAAAACAGCTAGAGAGAACAAGGCAGAACTACTCTAGCATTTCCACCAAGAACTAGCTTGGACTAGTGTTAACTCTGGTTTGACCTTGGCTCCTGCTAACATCATCGTGATGATCCCCCATTAGCGGGTCTCTGCACTGAAGCACAACGCAGAGATACCAATGTGTGTGGTACTGGAGAGGTCCCTTCAGATCTAACCAGGCTGGTAGGTCTGATCCAGCTCACACCATGTCTGACCTAGCAGCCTCCAGACAAGGCATTTATATGGCTGTGTGGAAGTTGATTTTTTTTTTTTTTAAAGCCAAAAATGAGTAAAGGTACTAAAGAACTTACTTTGCATCCAATAGAAGAACATAATGGAAGAATGTGAACAAAGCTTTACGTTCTCAGCCCAAAAGAGACTGAAAGGCCCATAAGCAATAAAAGCAACAGTATTAAAAGAGAGCAAGGCACTCCAAGGACCACACATCCATTTATGCTAGGAAGCTACAGATCCCAGCTGACAATGTGGTACAGTAGTGTACAGAAGCACAGAAATGAATGAACATGGGAAATGAAGTTTCATCACGCCCCATAAGAACAAGATGTCTTCTTAGGTCAGAAATAAAATGCATTTCTACATTTCCAGGAAGATCTGAATTGAATAAGAATCTAATAACTGTCAACAATTTCATAATAAAGCATGTAATTAGGATTATATGAACAGAAGTACAGCCAAGCATAGCAATTTCTATAAATGGTGCAAATCCTGTGCCAAATTCAATGCTGGCATAGCACGGAAATTTCTCCCAAGCATCCAACAGAAATCCAGCTACCAGGCAGCAAGTGAAAAATGCATTGTTTAATATCTGTAAACTTCATCCAGACCACCCAAAAAGCTACAAAGCACAGTGTACAATATCAAGTTTTAAAATTGTATTTTGCATCTGTAGCCAATATAACTATATACAAGCAAATGTGCAAAATTTTCCCCTTATGCTACTAATCAGAAATCAACAATCCAGGAATTAACTTGGGTCACTGGTTTTATCCTTCCAAACTACCCCTATGTGAATTCACTGATGACTTGAGTACTATTCTTTTAGCATCTAGCTACTTAGAAGCACAGTAAAAATAACTTTGCCCACAGAAACAGAAAATTAATTTAAACTTTTTAAAAAGACAGGCTATATGCAGCTCTAGTCCTGTGCTTAACTGGTAATTGCAAGTACAGGAGAGAAGGCAGAATGTTCAATGTTAGCTATTTCAAAGAGGTCAGTATGACACTCAGGAGACCAAAGTCCTACCAAGAACGTTCTCAGACCACCCTGATCATTTTGTCCTGTCCAGTTCAGTTTGGTCTCTGCAGAACTGAGGCTGCAGCTGAGCTAAACCTTGGTCACTGACCACATGCAGGTTCTACATCTGTGGTAAAGGCCAGGTAAAATGACTTACCCTGCACTGAAAAAGGTCAAACACCTCACATTCGCCTTAGACTAAGAAAACACACATGGACAGTTACAAAAGTTCAGCTGATGTAAAGCAATTCCGCTAGAACTCAAGAGACAAGAAATAATTAATGAAAAAAACCCCAACCATATGCAATGGATCAACTGAAAAGGACAAAAGAAAGGTTTTCTTCCAGGGTTAAAAAAAATACCACTAAGGATTACTGAGCAACAATAAAACTACTGGACAAACAAGCACTTAATGCTGCACCCTTTCATTAGGATTTTCTACTTTAACCTCTTCAGTGATGGAACTTACTGATGAAAGCATTGTTTTCTGAGCTTATTTAAATAACTGCAAAAAATAGTGAGATTGTAAAGCTGAGTTTGGAAGGGCTTGACAGAGCTGAGGCCACCTGGGCTCTGCAGCCCTGTCTCTGCATAGACTGCATGTCCATCTCCTAAAGTCTATGTTCCAGTTTCTTCCTTATGCCCATATACTCTTTCGCATACAAGTTTAACAGCCTTTTTCTCCAGATTATCCAAGTAAAAACCAAGGACAACCCCAAGTGTACTGGCAGGATAAAGCCCAGTCCTTAGTGCCTTTCCTTGCTCTGTAAATATACACAGAAGGAGCAGAACTGACATCTGTAAAGATAACTGCTTAACTGTTGTAGCCCAGCACTAGAAACATGCGTCACCAATCTACATCTGCATAGAACTATCTGCCTTGACTTTTCAACCATGTGCGTAAAAAAAATTATCAAGAACTTCTAATGTAGCCTCATTTAGGCTTCCTTTTCTTCTGGGGAGCAGAACTTCCTCAACAATACTATTCCTTCTAACTGGAGCATATGGTCTAGAGAACCAGGACCAAAGCAAGAAGTACAGAGCACATTCTGGTAACTGCTGGTACAATACCTCCTTGTGAGGTGGGATTTTCTTTGCCATTTTAGTCTCAGAAAAGACTGAATAATTTAAATATTTAAGAAAACGTCATAAACTTGAAACATGTTCCTCCTTCCCTTCCCCCTAGAATATTTTAGCCAAAATGGTTAAAATTGGGAAATATTCTAAGCAGGAAAAAAAAGGAGAACCATAGAGCAATTCTCAACACTGGCAGCAAAACTTTGAATTTCACCTCTTAAAAATGTTCATAGACTGTGCAAACTGATCCAAGGACACCAATCCTGCTGCACCAAGCTCAATGTTCATTTTCCAGCTACTGCACCTGACAAAAACAGTCATATTTGATGGAAACAGATACACCAAGCACTATCAGCACAACTGAAATACAAACCTGCGAGTTCAAAGCGGGAAAGGGGAAATCTGCCTCCAGCCACAACCCCCTGCGTGCCCTGGTGACACCTAAAATCATGAGGATAGTACTTATTGTTTCAGATTTAGAAGCAAGAGGAAGTAATTTCCAGCTCTATTCCTTCAAGTGGGTTTTTTCTTTTCTCTCCCTGTAATTCCGGATTGGGGCCCCCAAAGACATCTGGCCCAGCTTTACAGCCTGAGGAAAGGAATACACCAGAGGGGTCTCCTTCATTAGACACTGCAGCTACATTATTCATCCCCCAGGCACAGAAAGAACAAATAAGCAATCAGTTGCTGACAGTGCTGCATGGGTCATCCATCAGGAAGGCCTTTTGCCTGTTTGTCTTACCTCCAAAATAGGTAGAGTAAAACAAAAAAGAGGTCATTCTAGCATATTACATTTTAAAAAGCTTTGGTTACCTTAACATGGAATGTATAAATCCTTACAATTTTTTCTACTAATAAAACTATAGCAACCTCTAAGGGTAGAAAAGCAACTGACTGCTTTCAGCTGAATTTATGAAAGTCTCCAATAGGAAGATGAAAAATTTCCTCCGGTGAACTGCACATGCCCTTTTTCTTTTCCCAGAGAGTCATCTGTTTAAAGCCAGGCTGCAACCTTTGCTAAATAAACACTTGTTTCATTTACTACCACATAGCCACTTGGCTAATGGAGTTAATGCTGCCCTACTGAATCTTCCACCATATTCTTTATTTTAGAAATTGTATCATATTTCCTAATAAAAGTCAAGAACAATATTAACAAAACAGTAATCTATATTGGCTTTTAGTGACTTCCAAGATGTACTGACTTCATGCAGAGAGATACCACATGATAAAGAAAAAACCCATTAAAATACTTCTATTTTGAGGTATTCTTTTAGGCACTTCCTGGCATTTGCACCTCAGCTCGTTCACAGCTGTATTTTCGGTTGGAGGAATTGAGCGTTAGTAAGAAGACAGATGATGACACTGAACATGCTGGCAAAGTCACGTAAGGACTATGCAACCGAAACATGACAGTCGCTGGCAAAGACTCAAGCAGCTCCCACAGCCTACAGCTCAAAGAAGTAAAGAATTAAGTAGAACTTCATTAATCAAAAATGAAAAGGGAAAAGCATTTTTGCAGAATAAAG